ATCGTCATGTTGCGCTGGCCTATTCCCACGTCCTGGGGGGAAAAGAAGGAGAGGGGAGGGGAGGTACACGCATGAGTGCTAACGGGTGCACATACACGCACACACACACACACACACACACACACACACACACACACAAAACACACACTAACGCACACTAACGCACACTAATGCACACACAGACACCAAGAGACACACATCCTGAGGAAAGTACTTTGATGATGGGTGCACGGAGGGGCGGTGCATCGAGACGAGGTGCATGAGATGCTGACAGTCAACCAGATCTGTGTTAGCGCAGGGCTGCAGATTGTATGTGCCCATCCCATCCCATCCCACGCCACTACCCACCTGGTTGAGGCACTTGTGCGCGCGCAAGACAGCGGGCAGGTTGAGCAGCGGCTCGCCCATGCCCATGAAGACGATGTTCGTCACGCGGTGCTGGAACAGCTGCTGCACCGCCAGCACCTGCGCCACGATCTCGTGCGCCCGCAGGTTGCGCGCAAACCCGCCCTTGCCCGTCGCACAGAAGGAGCAGCGCAGAGGACACCCCACCTGCAGGTGTGGATGGAGGAGGGGGGATGGGGGGTGGGGGGGGGGGGGGTGTTAGCGAGGGGGAAGTGGGTCTTTTAGTCGACTCAACCAAAGATGCAAACCCGAAGTTGCCTGTGGCACAGAAGGGGCACTGCAAGGGACACCCCACCTGCTTGGGATGGGTTGAAGGGAGGAGGGGTAAGAAGGGAGCGAAGGCTGCGTGGTCCACCTAAAATGCGGACGCAAAGCCGCCATTGGCTGAGGAGTACTTTATTTGGTGACATGGATGAACGGGGTGAGGGGAAAGGTGGGTGGAGATAGAGCGAAGCCATGGGGAGGGGAAGGATGAGAGGGATTAAAAGAGACGATTAAAAGAGGAGGGGGGGGGGTGGAAGAAGGAGGAGGAGGAGGAGGGAGGATGATGATGAAGCATTCAAGCATGTGAGGAAAGATGGCAAAAGGAAGTACACGCCAGAAGAACAGGGAAACTACACGATGCGATGCGAAGCAACGCAACGGCTCTCTCCACCATTCCTTGCTCCCTCAAGCACCAATCCCAACACCTCCTTCTGTTCACCATGCAGGAGCACCCACCCATCCCTGTGCCTCCACCCCCTCACCCCCCCACCCCCCCACTCCCCCACCCCCACGTTCCCCCCCACCTGCGAGGAGATACAAGCAGTGAGGTGGTGTGCGCCCTTGCGACTGCCCTCCATGGGGATGCCCACCGTTTCCACCAGGCGGTTGTCCGCCAGCCGCAGCAGCAGCTGGGGGGGGGAGACAGGGGGCGGCCCGGGCGGGTTGTGTTGGTGAGGGGGGGGAGAAAGATATGAGTGACAGCGAATGGGAATGCGTGCCTCGGGATGAGAGGCAGAATGTGAGCGCACCAGGAAGAGAAACAGAGAGCGAGACGCGGAGGAGGGGGGAAGAAGGTGGGGGGGGGTTGGGGGTGGGAGAAGGGGGGTGGGGGGGGAAGAGCAGGAGAAAAAAAGGAAGCAGGGAGGGGCAGGTGAGGGAGGAGGGACCTTAGCGGTGCCGTCAGCAGCAGCGGCCACGTGGTGCACGGGAGGCCGCCCCACCACCACTCCCCTCTCCGCCAGACGCTCTCGGAATGCCAGAGGCACTGCCAGGCGGACGGGGGATGTCGGGAGATGGGGAGATGGGGAAGTGGGGAGATGGGGAGACACATAGAAATGCACGCATGCACGGACGCACACATCAGCAGCATAGACACGCATTAGCACACACCCACATGTAATGTGCGATAAGGGGAAACATTGCTGATTGAACAAAGTGGCAGGCAGCTTCCATTCTCGTTCTTCTGGACTAGTGCCCCGGGATGGGACACCTTCTCTCTCACACCCTCCACTTTCGCACACTTGCATACGTGCCACTCTCACTCTCTCCTTCCCCCGTCCCCTCCCCCTCCCCCCCTCACACGCACGCACACGACACGCATTGACCACTCACGTTGCTTGAGGTCACTCAGGTCGCAGCCCTGGTTGGAGTACACGAACTGGTGCAGCTGCTTCCCGCGGTACTTTTGCTGCCGGGTGGAAGAGGACAGGGAAAAGGCGGTGTCATGGGGGAGAGAGCGGTTGGGAGTGGTGAACAAGGGTAGGGAGGAAGACGGAGGGTGCGGAAGAGGGGAGGGCGGGCGGAGGCGAGAGGAGAGGGGAGAGGGGCGAGGGGAGGGGAGAGGGGCGAGGGGAGGGGAGAGGGGCGAGGGGAGGTGAGAGGGGCGAGGGGAGGGGAGAGGGGAGAGGGTTTAGGGGCCAAGGGCGAGATGCGAAGGGGGAGGAGTGCAGTGCAAGGAGCGGCGTACCTCGCCCAGCGCCATGGCTAGTTGCTCCATCTCCTCCAGACTACGTCCCACCAGCGCATCCTCCCCACCATCATCACCGGCCTTTCTCCTGCTGCTGCTGCTGCTGCTGCGGCTCTTTGCTGCCTCTGCAGTCTTCTCCTCCTCCCCTGCAACCACTGATGATCCTTTCTCTTCCTTTGCTCCGCCCATCCCCTCTGCTTCCGCATCACCCCCAGCCCTCCCCGCCCCCCCTTGCCCCGCATCCCCCTGCTGCGCCTCTCCCCGCGCCTCCGCGCGCAGCTTCTCCGTCTGCTCCTTCTGCCGCTGCTGGTTCTCCTTCTGCGCCGCCAGTCGTTCCGCCTGTCGCTCCGCCACCTCCCGCGCCAGCTCCCGCTGCAGCCGCGCCTCCTGCTGCGCCAGCCTCTCCGCCTCCTTCTCCGCCTGCCGCGCCGCCGCCGCGTCGCCCGCCGACCACGGTCGCTCGTTGGCGGGCGGAGGCGGGTACACCTTGTCTAGAGGCGGGGAAGCGGGGGCAGCGGAAGCAGCGCGGGGAGGGGAACGCGAGTCAATCATCCTCCGGGAAGAGGAATTGCGAGCAGAGTCGGACGATGATGGTGATGCGAACGATCGTCGCGGGCCAAAAGAATCGCGCTGCTGGCGTTTCTCTTGCTGCTGCTGTTGCGGGTCCCTCGAGCGGAACGAGCTCTGATCCCGCTGGCTCTGCTCGTACCGCTGCTGCCGCTGTCGCCGCAACTCGCGAACCTCCTCGTCCACCTCTACGCCGTGTCGCAGAAGAATCGCCTGCGCGTCGCGAGGTTCGCGAACCGGTCGCCCATCTCGCGTGTGCGACAGCGACCTGCCGTTCGCTGTGGGTCGATCGCGACCAGGCGAGGCGAAGTCCGAGGATGGGCGGGAGTTGGAGTAACCAGAGCGATTTCTTTCGTCACTGCGGGAAGCTGAAGCTGAATATCCGTTATCATTTCTGCTCCCACTGCGGTTGCTACCGCCGCTCCCGCTTCTACCGCCGCCTCTCGCGCTACTGCTCCTCCTGCTCCAGTCACCACCGTCATCGTATGACCTCTCCGCTGCACGCCCGCGGTCACGGTCGCGGTCGCCGCCGCGCCGTCCTCCCATTCCTTCCTCGCGCCTTGAATCACCATCCTCATCGCCGTCCTCCCGCCAAGCCGTCTGCTCCCTACTGTACCCTTCTCGGCTGCTGCGGCTGCTGCTGCTGCTGCTTCTACCGCTTCGTCCGCCTGCTGCTTGCCTCCCACGACCCCGCTCACTGTCACGCCCAGACGAGAATTTGCTGCTGGACCACGCTGCACGGCTATTATCCCCTCCGGTGTACGCACAGCAGTGTATGTTTCGGCTGCTATTCGCCCTGTTCACCCTGCTAAACCCGAAACCCTCGGCGGAAATCGCAACCGGGGACAAGAAATCCACCCGCATGCCCGCGTTCGAAGCGTCTCCGATAAGAGGACGCAGATCGCCGTGGATCGACTCTGCGTCGAGTCCTGTTGTGCGCGGCAGCCGACAGACGCGCCCCGTGAGCTCTTCTTGGGATGGCGAAATTCGCGACAGGCGTGGATTACTGGTCCTTAATGCGAGTGAAAGAGAGCCTCGAAAAAAGCTGCTGCTCGTGAGAGGCGGTCGCAAACGAGGTGGCAAAGTCAGCGCAAGCACGCGCGACGCCATGAGGAATAATGCCAGGCTCGTTGGCGAAAAGTGGGAACTTGAAAGGAAGGCGAGACTGGTGAATTGGAGTGCATAATGCTGCAGACCAGACCAGACGAGACGCGACAAGCAGCATGCTGCACAGATGGGCTCATGATGGAACAATGGTCACTTCACTTTCCCTATTTCTACATCAGGGTGAATATCAGCCTACTAATAAAGGTTCCTCTAAGTAATTCTTGTCAAATTATATATTCTATATATATATATCTGTTTAGGCTTGGTAGGTGTGTTACATTGCTGGATCCTACTGTAGAGGGGATAAACCCTCCTTCTTGTATCTCTTTCTCTTCCTAGTTGACTCTCTTTTCTCTCGTAATTCTGCCCCCTAGCTAAACATCTCGACCACCAACGCCTAGCCTAGTTCCTTAGCTTGTTTGACATGGTTTCAGAGCAGGTCCCTTTCGCTCGGGCTTTCTCCTCACGCTTCCGCAGCGTATCCCCCCGTCACGCCGCGCTGGCCCCGTCACTCAGCGCTAGCCCAGTCACGCTACGCCGGCCCCGTCACGCCGCGCCAGCCCCGTCACTCCGCGCCGGCCCCGTCACTCCGCGCGGGCCCCGTCACGCCACGCGGGCCCCGTCATTCCGCGCCCGGCCCAGTCACTCCGCGCCGACCCCATCACGCGGCGCCGGCTCCGTCACTCCGTGCCGGCCCCGTTACTCCGCGCCGGCCCCGTCACGCCGCCAAGGAGCTGCGCCGACTAGCCGCTGAGCCGTGCCGCCGAGCCTCAATGCCACCGTGTCGCTGTCCCGCCGTGCCGCCGTACAACGGTGCCGCCGCGCCGCCGTGCCGCCGTTTCACCGTGTTGCCGTGCCGCTGGGTCGCCGTGTCGTCGTGTTGTCGTGGCAGCTTCGTCGTAACAACGCACGGACGGCTGCGGCCAGCGTCCTGTCCTAGGCGCCAGCCGCGACGCCCTCACGCCAGTAAGCGCCGCGCCAGCCATGGAGCCTCGCTGAAGATTCCCATCCCCCCCCCCCCCCCCCTTCTCCTCCGCTGCCTTTCCCCTCCTCCCCGCCGCAGATGCTGGCGGCCTCGTGCCGTCCTCTCCCCTTTTTCGTCGCAGTGTGAGCCACGCCGCTGGGTGCCTCGGGCGCCGCCGCCGCAAGTGCTGCGGGCCCTGCTGCCGCCGCCGCAGGTGCCGCAGGCCCTGCCACCGCCGCCGCTGCGACCCGCCGTTGACGTTGCCGCCTCGATTGCCTAGGGGTCGGCCCGCTAGTAGCCGCCACAGCTGCTGAAGGGCATGGGGGTGCAAGGGTTTGGGGGTGTGGCGTGTGGGGTGGGCTTTCGACTACCAAGCCTAAGGGGTGTGTCAAATTATAAATATATTATTTATATATATATATTTTTTGTTTAGGCTTCATAGGTGTGTTACATTGCTGGATCCTTGGGGAAGGGCCACAGGTGCAGAGCATGGGGGGCTATGGGCGCACTGACCCGCTATTAACAAGCCCTTTTAACTCAATGGTTAGTGGCTGAGTTTCTGATATAGTATCAGAGCGTTGGTGACTCGGGTTCAATTCCCAATGCTAGCGGTGCAGAGGCGCTCGTGTCTTCCACCTATCCCAATGAAGGGGCGTGTCGAGTGACCCGCTGGGGTTACCCTTGACAAGATCCTCGGGGAAGGGCCACAGGTGCAGAGACTGGGGGGCTATGGGCGTACTGACCTGCTATTAATAAGTCATTTCAACTCAATGGTTAGTGGCTGAGTTTCTTACAATTCTTTCACACGCATTCCATGCATCACCCCTCCATACCTGGGAAAACATTATATGGAATATTATCCTTCAGTAATACAATAATAAGAGTATTTGGATTTTCCCTTACTCTTACGTGAATAAGAGGTAGTTCGTAAATGAGGTCTTTTCATGTGCACATACCGTATTAGCCCAGATAGAAGACTCATGGGTCTTATCACATACCGTAAAAAAAAAGCCCAGAGTATCTTATAAACGAGAAAAAACAACATGTATGAGGGTCTTATAAACAGAACCATCGTAACCTCACCGAAAAAAACCTGGAGTAGTTACACCAGAGGTCTGTCAACGGTTTTCATATTGAAGATGTCATTAAGGGGTCGATTTTGTTGGCGATAAGAGTTTAGGCTCAGTTGGATACGTGTGAGATGCAGCAAGGGAGGGACGAGGGTGTGTTGGCAGGTATTCTGCAACCCTCATCAACTGGACATCACGTTTCAACCATCCCAGCCATTTATCTGGCGTTAGCTCACACAAATCCAGGGGATACGGTGGGCTGTCACATGATGCGTCAGCAAAGTGTCCTCAGCGAGGAAGGATTCCTCTACGGGGAACCACAAAGTGAATTGTGGCAGTGTTGCCGGAGGTGGGTAGACCCCCTCTTCTGCTCATTTGCAACTCATGTTCTTGAAAAATGCATCAACCTGGTGTGCCTCTGCTTGCCGTGCCTTAGCCATCTGTGGCTTAGCGAGATGCGTAGCAAGCACCGTCCGCCATGGAGGGAGACTCATGGCGGACGGCGCCCTTCAGCAGGTAGTACACCACCAAGGGTGTACGTCAACATTTTTGGCAGAGTTAACTCCTCTGGCGACACCATCAACGGTAGTGTCCGGCCTGTCCGAATAATCTCTGCGAGTCGTTCACCACGCCGTGATTCTCCCCTCACGGCTTCTAACGATGATGCAGACAATGGGGGCGCCGACGCGGACGGCTTGGCGTGCAACGCCACTGACGACGAAGACGAATGGTGGGCAAGGCCCATCGGATCCGACGATAAAGTAGAAGAATGGCACGTGGGCGTCGATGCTGGCGGCGGGGATGGTGCCACTACAGGCGACGAGAACGCCTGCGGGGTGGGCGACGATGCGGCCGACGAGAACACATGTGGGGTGGGCGACGATGCGGCCGACAAGAATGCGTACTGGGAGGGTGACGATGCCGGCGAGTATCCGAGCGGTGAGGAAGGCAACGATGCGGACTACGACGAGGCTGACGATGTTGGCGATGACACGAGCGACGAATCGGGTGACGCTATTGACGACGACGATGACTTCGATGCAGTAGCGGCATCGGCGGGGCGATGTCGTGGCGGGGCAAAGCTACGGAGCTCAAAGCGGACGGCTGACAAGATGGAACACGTCGAGTGTGATGCTGCTAACGACGACTTGACCGATGAGGCGGGCGGCATGTCCGACGAGGGCATGCCGATCCAGAAACACCATGTTCTCGTCAAGGTGCACGGTCGCAAGCGGCGGCAGGACGGTGCTGGCAACGACGAACACGGGGGAACAAAGCGAAAGAAACCGACCAAACAGTCCCAAGCAAAGTGTGGACAGCTGTCGAGGGAGGAGAAAGGGAAAGCAAAATCGCGGGAAGAGCGCGGCATCGGCAAACGCAAGCGAGCTGCCAGCAACGACACGCGAAAGTCCGCCAAGCGGAACACCAGCCATCCGGAAGGCGATATGGCCGAGGAGAACTCCGACGACGCCTACGCGGAAGCGGCTGGCCCCATCCCCGTGTTCCCCGAAGGCAAGAAGCCCAGTGATCCAAGGACCAAGAACCCCGACGCGCAACCACCCTCGCCGCGTAGTAAAGCCAACACGAAGCAGCGACGCAGCTTCACGGTCGGCGAGAAGGCGCGGTGGGCACTGCGGTATCACGAGCTGGGGTCACTCATGCGGACGGCACAAGAAGCGGGCGTCGGACAATGCTCCATCTGCTGTTGGGTGGAGGTAGATATGAAGGGAAAGTACAAGGGGGCTGCGAAGTGCAGGAAGAGGCTGCATGGTTCTGGCCGGCACGCGCATCACCCCGAGATGGAGGAGGCGCTCGCCAAGTACGTCTGCAAGCAACGGAGTCGGGACTTGGCGGTCAGCGTCAACGACATTCGGGAATGGAGCCGACAGTACATGCGCAGACACGACCCGCGTACCAGGTGGCAGGGGTCGAGCCGCTGGAGCCAACGGTTTCGCAAGCGGTGGGGATTCACTCTACGCTGCTGAACGAAGGTTGGGCAGAAGCTCTCTCCAGGTAAGCCTCTTGTACCCTGTGGGTAAGTGTATGCCTCTGTATCTACGTCTGTCTCTGTGCTGAGCCTTTGTTCTCTGTCTTTGAATCTGTCTGTTGTGCAAAGCTTCTGTTAACTATCTTTGCATCCGTCTCTTGTGCAGAGACGTGCCTCTGTCTTGTAGCTATGCGCTTGCTAAGGCCCCTCTGCCCCTGCCCCTTCCCGCCCACCACAGAATGCGCCGCGGACTGTGAGGGGTTTTGGAAGTTCGTTCGCATCAACCGTGCCCGTCATCAAATGGACTTACTCCGCATAATCAATGCCGATCAAACTCCTCTTTTCGTGGAGATGCCAGCTGGCCGGACGTTGGAGCAGAAGGGGCCACGTTCGGTGCCAGTGAAGACCGCTGGATACGAGAAGCAACGCTTGACCGTGATGCATGCACGGCCAGCGGCGACAAGCTCCGGTTGTGGGTATGGTTCAAGCGCAAGACCATACCCAAATGTGAATGTCCCTCGGGTAAGCCTTCCACGTCTTGCTCTCCATGCACTCCTGAACCCTCCTATGCTGTGAGCGTACGACCTGCTGTTTGTCTCACATAAATCCGACTTGTGCGTGAGTTCTGCAGGGGTCGAATTGCAGGCCCAGGAGAACGGCTGGATGGATGAGGCAGCCGTAAAGAAGTGGCTGGAGAAAGAGGTTCTCCCCTTTCTCGACCCGAAGCATGGGGCGCCAGCGCGACGTGCCATGCTTATGCTAGACTTGTACCGTGGCCATCTCACCGATGGGATGAAGCACGCATACAGGACGCATTGCATCGTCCCTGCCATCATTCCGGCACGGTGCACTCCGCTGATTCAACCCCTTGATGTTTCCATCAACAGGTGTTTTAAAGCGGGGGTGAGAGCATGCTATGCAAAGTGGTTTGCAAAGCACAGCATCAACCTACGCACTGCCAAAGGTACGCCAGTAGTTCTTATTTCTCCCCGCCCGTGTACTTGAATGCACCTTGGCC